CAGTGGTGGAGCCCCTGCCTAGAATCCCCCAGTGAGGGGCTGGGGTGGGTCAGGGTAGCACTGGTAGCATCAACAAGGCCTTGGATTATGTCTCTAGCATTGCAGAAGGACATAACGTGTGTGCCTGCATACAGATAAGCTTCCGGTTTCTTGGGCTGAGACCCATGTACGTACAAAGTATAAGGGTAAAAAGTCAGGGAAGCCACGGTTCACTTTTTATAATCAGGAAGGGGGATTTCTTGGTTCCTTTTTGGCAAAAGCATAGGGCTGGGCTGGATCTCGGTGTGTGGTGATGATGGCCTTGGCCATTTTCTCCAGCTCCCGGCCTGGCTCCCTTCTCTTCCTCCGTGTCCTGTCATTTTGTGTTGGTTTTACTCTGTGTGCTTATTCACACATGCCAGAGTGCCTGTGGAGGGCTGGCAGCCTTTGGGAGGCAGCTCTCCTTCCACCAAGGGGTCCCGGGTCAGACTCAGGCTGTCAGGCATGGTGGCCGCGCTCCTCTGTACGATGGCCTCGCTGGCCTCGTGCTGGCCGTTTGTAGATGTCACCATAGCTGTTGGATTACTTTCACTCGGTTCACATTCCTGGAGGGTCTCTGACCCCATCCTTCGGGAGGCTGAATTTGAGACCAGCCCAGGGCTACAGCTTGAGAGCCTGTCTCAGAAACAAAGAATTGAAAAGAGAACTGTGAAACAACCCAGAAACCAGAGCAAAATAAAACTACCCTTTCCAGAGGGAGGAGAGTCTCCCTCCCTGGAGCTGTGGGAATCGGGCCCGTCTTGAAGTCAAGCCTGTGGACCTGAGCTGAGGCCCGCAGCACCAGAGGGGACAGCGCTGTACATGTCTCCACCGGGGGAGAGCTGAGAGCTGCGGCTGGACAGCAGGTGGGGCCTAGGCAGCCTTGGGCTCTTGGTTCTAGGTCCACAGTTTGGGGCTGGCTCTGTTTACGAGTCTCCCGCTTAGAGTCCATCGCAGAGACCATGCTCTGTTTGAGGTGACTTGAGCAAGGGCCTGGGCCTCTGGGAGAAGCAAGAAAATAAACAAGTGCAGCCAGGCAGGCCAGCGGGAGCCAGGGGCTCGGGGGGTGGGGGTGGGGGGTGTCTGATGCTGGGACTGTGTTCTAGGCCGGGCAGCGCCTCCACGAGGTCGCTACTCCCACGTGGCGGCTGTTCTTGGCGGCAGTGTCCTGCTGGTGGCCGGGGGATATAGCGGCCGGCCTCGCGGGGACCTCATGGCCTACAAGGTGCCACCCTTCGTGTTTCAGGCACCGGCCTTGGATGTGAGCACGGGGTGACAGGGAGGGGGGCCCATGGGAGGAGGCGAGGGAGGTGGAGTGGGCAGAGGCCCTGTGAGAGATGCGGGAAGAGTGGGGTACCCTGCAGTGACGTGGGTGGGCACGCAGCTGTGCGGGGTCTGTGGGGCTGAGTGACTGGAGTTAAGTGTCGTGTCCCGTGTCTCTGCAGTACCACCTGGACTATTGCTCCATGTACACAGACCACAGTGTCTGCTCCCGAGACCCGGAATGTAGCTGGTGTCAGGGGGCCTGCCAAGCTGCACCCCCTCCCGGGACCCCCTCAGGAGCTGTGAGTGACTGTCGTGGGCCCTCCATGCGCTAGCACAGAGGCCTGCTTTAACTCCCTCCGAAGTGGTCAGTCGCCCGAGACCCTCATTCCTGCCTCCTGACGGCCTCCAGCCCCAGCCTGTACCTCTCCTCCCTCCTGAGTTCCTTCGAGTTTATAGCCTGACCCTGGATCCCTGAGCCGCTAGACCAGTCCTGCCCCCAAGCCCCAGAGCCCCAGAGCGCAGTGACCATTGACTGTACTGTCCTTTCAGTGTCCAGCGGCCAGCTGCCTGGGCCTCGGCCGCCTGCTGAGCGACTGCCAGGCGTGCCTGGCCTTCAGTAGCCCTGCAGCCCCGCCCCGGGGACCCGGCGCCCTGGGGTGGTGTGTGCACAACGAGAGCTGCCTTCCTCGGCCTGGTGAGTGTCGAGCAGCTGCCGGGGAGGGGCGCGGAGCACCCACACTGAGCCTCAGCGCCCACATTCTGTCCTCCAGAGCAGGCCCGCTGCCGAGGGGAGCAGATCTCCGGCACCGTGGGCTGGTGGGGGCCGGCGCCTGTCTTCGTCACCTCCCTGGAGGCCTGCGTCACCCAGAGCTTCCTGCCCGGCCTGCACCTGCTGACCTTCCAGCAGCCACCCAACGCCTCTCAGCCTGACAAGGTGGGCCGTGGGCCTGGGGACGGAGGACGCCCTTCTCAGATGAGCCTTTGGGGCGCAGTTCTCGGGAGGGGGCCAGGCCTTGGTGCGCGCTGAAGATGCCGCTATGCCTTCGCTCGAGCTCGGTCCCCAGTCTCCAGACAGGTCAGCTGCTGGCTTAGACGCAGACTTTATTTCTTTAACTTCTCATTTTGAGACAACCCTGTCTCAAGGTCGTCCAGGCTTGCCTGGAAGGCACTCTATTCCAGGCAGACCTTGCCCTGATCATTTTCCCTGGCCTGCCCTGTAGGTGAAACGGAAATCCTATGCTGTGAGGTCCTACATGATTTTTTTTGTTTGTTTTTATTTTCTGAGACAGGGTTTCTCTGTGTGGCCCTGGTTGTCCTGGGCTTGCTTTGTAGACCAGGCTGGCCTTAAACTCACAGAGATCTACCTGCCTCTGCCTCCTGAATACAGGGATTAAATGTGTGTACCACCATTCCCAGCTAAGAATTTTTAAAAATCTGAGTGAAATAACACCTAAAATTTATCACAAGTAACATAGTACATTAAAAAAAAAAAAAAAAAGACTGTAGAACAAGATGGTCATGATGGCACACGCCAGCAACCCCAGCACCTGGCAGTCAGAGGCAGGTGGATCTCTGTGAGTTTGAGGCCAGCCTGGTCTACAGGAGACACCCAGAGCAATACAGAGAAACCTTGTCTCAAAAAAATCAAACTAACAAAACAAAAAAGATTGTAGAGCAACATTTTTGTCACTCCCATACCAACCGTAGGTTTATTTACAAATTGCTCCGTGTCCCTCCCTCCCTGAACCCTTGGCCCGGGATTTGCTGGCTGTGGTCATTTGAGGTGAACGGGGTCATGCAGTCTGTGGCTCTGCACCCGATTCTTTCACTTCAGGGCTTGCTTTCGCTGTCGCTTCACTTGGAAATGGATTTCAAGCTCTATGTGGTAGCGCATATCTGTGATCCTGGCACGTGGGAGGCCGAGGCCAGAGAGGGAAAATATATATATATATATATATATAAAGATAGAACATTCTACCTGCGTGTGTGCCTGCACACCAGAAGAGGGCACCAGATCTCACTGTAGATGGCTTTGAGCCGCTGTGTTGCTGGGAACTGAACTTGGGACCCCTGGAGGAGCAGCCAGTGCTCTAACCTCTGAGCCGTCTCTCCAGCACAAGAGACTTGAAATCCAGGTCAGCCCGTACTGCAGTGAAACTCAGAAACCAAACACAAAGCCGAGTCGGCCTGTGCTGCAGTGAGTCTGACTCAAAACAAAACACAAAGCCGAGAACGTCGCTCGGCCACGGTGGAGAAGGCGCAGGAGGTGGGGGGGAGCCCTGGCGCGTGGCCCGCCTTCGTGGCTTCTTTACCGAGCTGCCCCTGCACATCTTCAGTAGGCGCCTCCACCTCTGTCCACATAGCTCACAGGTTTGTCTCTGAGAGGTTCGAGTCCTGCCCACCTGACAGTCCCTGCCTCCATAGCGAAGCAGGCTGCCCTGGAACTCGTGGCACCCCTCTGCCTCTGCCTCCTGAGTGCTGGCACGCCACGCTCAGTCCGCTTCTTCTGAATATGTGCTTTCCCGGGACAGACCGGAGGAAGCACCCTCGCTCAGTGCTGGTTGCTGTTGTCTCTGAGACAGTCTTGATGTGTTGGCCCGGCCGGCCCTGGTAGCTCAGGTTCAGGTGATCCTCCCTCAGAACCTAGGCAGGCCTTGATTCTGCCCTCAGATTGCTGACCCGCCTTCCTCCACATCCTGAGTCCCCAAGCTACAAGCCTCCGGTGCCAGCTTGCCCTTCCCAGCAGTTGTGTGACCCCCATTCACATGCAAAGGCTGTGCTGCTGTGTGCTTACTTCTCCTGGGGGCAGGGGCTGCTGTGTCAGCCAGGCTGGCCTCAGTCCTGCCTCACCTCCCACGCGCTGGGTTTCCAGGTGTGGGCCACAAGCACAGGTAAATAGTCCCAAGTGACGAACACCTGGGCTGTTCCGTTCTGCTGTGTACATTTTCACACCTTAGCAAGCGAACACATCTTGTGGAGTGTCGCCATTGGGAGTGTCAGGCCTGGCCTTCTGGGAAGGCGGGGAGCTGGGGGCAGATGGTGAAGAGCCCAGCCATGAAGCTTAAGAGACGCTTTCTTGTTTCTCGTGGAGACAGGCTCTCCGTGGGTAGGCCTGGTGCTCTGAAACTCCCAGTGTGGCCCAGGTTGTCTTCGCACTGACAGCTAGCTGCCCACTTCCTCCTCCCAGTGCTGGTGCTACGGTGTGTGCTGTCACACCGGGTCGGGGCAGCTTTGCGGACGACTGTCTTCTAGTTTGCGCAGGTTCTGGGGCTCAGCTCAGAACTTAGGATTGTTTTGTTATCTTGCTTTTGTTTTTTAGAGACAGGGTTTCTCTGTGTGTCCTAGAACGCACTCTGTAGATGAGCCTGCCTCTGCCTCCGAGTGCTGGGATTAAAGGCGGGGCCACCCCTGCCTGGCTCAGAATTTACATTTTATGTAGGTCTGGGGTGAACCTCCAGGTGGGCATGGCAGGCAGCTTTGCTCCTGAGGCGTCTTGCTGGCTCCTCAGCCTTTGGAGTTTTGATCAGACGATGAGGTTGGGCTGGGGCCCTGGAGGGATGGCGGGCAGGCTGCCGTCACTCGGGCCCCTCTCTCAATCTCTCATTTGGCGAAGGTGGTTTGGCCAGCCTGTCTCCTCTGCTTCTGGCGTGACCTGAGGGGTGTGGGTACTGAGGGATAGTCCCTGCACAGGCAGACAGGGCTTACACGCGCATCCCGTTCTGATGGTCCAGGTGTCCATTGTCCGGAGTACCACGATCACCTTGACACCCAGCCCGGAGACAGACGTGTCCCTGGTGTACCGAGGGTTCATCCACCCGCTGCTGCCTGGAGGGCCAGGCGGCCCCGGCGCTGACGATGTGGCCGTGTGGGCTCGGGCCCAACGCCTTCACGTCTTGGCCCGGATGGCCAGAGGCCCTGACACTGAGAACATGGTGAGTGATTTTTGGTAAATATGGGCAAGGGTGTGATTCGGGCATCTGTGTTGTGTCAGGGTTCTGGGGACAGCGGGGAACATTTGGACATGGAGCTGCCCTTAGAGGAACAGGGTGCTGTGGGGCTTTCAGCTGTGAGCAGAATCTGGGGGGTTCTGGGGAGGGTGAGAGAGCTTGAGTGATAGGTGAGATTTCCCTGTGAGGTTTGTCACGGGGAGGGTGCCAGCTTCCCAAAGTCTAAGGACCCCGAGGTTTCCCTCGGGGCGGGACTGGGAGTCGAACGGAGAGCGGGGGTCCTGAGGGTCTGCGTGCTGCCCCCCACTGCAGGAGGAGGTGGGGCGCTGGGTGGCCCAGCAGGAGAAGGAGACGCGGCGCCTGCAGCGCCCTGGCTCTGAACGCCTCTTCCCAGTGCCCGGGAGAGGCCACAAGTATGCCGTGGAGATCTGCGGCCAGCTCAACGGCTCTGCAGGCCCCGGGCACAGCGAGCTCACGCTCCTGTGGGATCGCACTGGAGTGCCGGGTGGCAGTGTGAGTGTCTACCCCTGCTTCATTCCCAGCTTTGACCTCGAGTTTCTCGGCTTCCCCAGAAGCCATTTCCAAGCGGAAAATCTTAAGTCACTTGATCCCGGCTTCAGACTCTGACATTTGACCCCACACTCTGACAAGATTTCTATATTCTTTTCTGGAACATGCTAGGATGGAACCCAGGGCCTTGTATGTTCTGACAAGTGCTCTACCTCACTGGGGGACTCTAGGCAGGGGCTCTACCACAGAGCCACACCCCACCCCTCACTGGGGGATTCTAGGCAGGGGCTCTACCCCTGAGCCACACCCCAGCCCCTCACTGGGGGACTCTAGGCAGGGGCTCTACCCCTGAGCCACACCCCAGCCCCTCACTGGGGGATTCTAGGCAGGGGCTC